ACTGGATTTAGGCATACTTATAAGAGTAAGACAATCCTAAGATGAATCTTGAACAATCTGAGTTATATATGCTGAAAAGATGAGAGTAAGGTCTTTAGGTGGAGGAGACACATATGAATATAACTTAAAACATTCCACTGATATTGTATGTGTGGGTGTATGTATTATCGGAAAATAAAAGGGACATGCGTTACGCTCCATCTTCCATGGAATGATTTAAGTTGATAAAAGAGAAATAGATCCTACATTCTTGAGAAAATAAGCACAGTGATTTCGCATTATCTCTTGGCATTATCTCTTGGCATAACTGGTTTTGCCCCATCTGGATACATACCCAGAAGTGATATTGCCAAATCGAATGATAATTCTATTTTTAATTTTTTGAGGAACTACCATACTGTTTTCCGTAGCAGCTCCACTATTTTACATTCTCACCAACAGTAGTCAAGGGTTCCAGTTTCTCCATATCCCCACCAACACTTATTTTTTTTTATAGTAGTTATCCTAATGGATATGAGATGATATATCATTAATAATGATTCTTCTTGACTTTTAATACCTGAAGCTCATATAATATATATCCCTTGATGTATTTTCAGCCAGCTTAAAATTAGAAAAAATACTTATGTCCCCCAAACGATGTAATATTTTAACATCATGATGTATAGGAAGTCTTGTTACATTTCAAATACATAGATAGAACATTAGAATGACATCTTTTTAAAGTGCCCAAGTGTCAAAAACAAGGTAGATGTCTTGATTTCACACCTAATACTCAATGCAAACTTTCTCAGTTATTGTGTGATTGTCTTAAAGGTTTCTTTCCACTTTTAACCTTTCATATGTGACCCTTGGTTTCCCTGGTATGTTATGATTCTCATACCAGATGAGAACACATTGAATAAAATTGTGGAGAAAGAAGCAAAGCAAGACTGACTATGATAGACCAGAAGATACTACTACATAGAAAATTACTATTTATTAAAACCATATTGTTTGGTGATCAGAAAGCTATGTTTTAAGCATTTTACATTCAAACATGATAGCTCATTATTTGTACATAGATAACATGTTTTTGTTACATTTTAGGAAATTTGTTGGAAATTTGAAGTTGACATGCATTATAATTTTTCCTATTAAAAAAATGGGAAATGGGCTTCTGCTAATGCAGAATTACTAGTTTTCAGTAAAGGGTTCCTGATTTTACCTCTATTTGGAGCTGAAGAAGTAAAAATATCTTTGAAACGTCACAAACTTACAGAAAAGCTGGAAAACTTTAAGCCATTTAAGAGTAAGTTGCTGACTTGATGCCTCACCACTCCTGAATACTTTTTAACTTCTGTTAAAAAACAAAACGTGTTTCCTACAAAGAAGGAAGTTCTCTTACATAACAATACAATCATCAAAATCAGGAAATTAACACCAATACATTACTACCATCGAATCCTCAGATTCCCATATAATTTTCATCATTTGTTCCAATAATGGGCCTTATAGCAAAAGGACCCAGATTAGAATCTCATGTATTTCATTACTAGGTCTCTTTAGTCTGGAATGTTTTCTCAGTCTTTCCTTGATTTTTATACTTTTGAAATTATTAGGTCAGGTTTGTATGATGTTTTCTTATGATTATTTCTTTGGCCGGACCTCTACTTTTCACAGTGAACAAATACATGCTAAAATCCAATAAAACTGAAATGTAAACCTAGGAGTAGGAAATGATTTAAGACCTAAAAAGCACACAAAAGAAAATAAAATGGATTCGACATTTTTATTCAAAAAACAGAACAGACTAAGAGAAGTTATTTGCCACAAATAAAACTGACCAGGAATTAACATATAAAACATATTGCTGGAAATCAACAAACAAAAATATTGAGCATCCTGTAATTTGAATATGCAAATCACAAAAGGAAGCACAATGGTCAACAAATGTATAATGAAGTGATTAATGGGAAATGCAAATTATAATGAGATTCCACTTTACACTCATCAGAACAGCAAAAAATATCAGGTAGATAATATCATTAGGGAAGTGAATAAAATATAGTAGATTCATACAGTGGAACACTATACATCAGAGTGTTAAAGAAAAAACCACTCAGAATGGGTGTCACTCGTGCTAAAATCTCAATACCAAACAACATTTAATATCTGATCTATTTGCCATAGAACAATGACTGTTTATTGAGGATTTACAGGAGCCTTAAACTGGACTCAGATCGGTGGGGGTTAACAGATCTACTGAGAAAAAAGAGATTTAGAGATTTCACATTCTTGAATCCCCGTCAGTGCTTAGCTGTCTACAGTCATCCACCTCTTGCCTCGCACCTCCTCCTTTCCCTTGACATAAAAGACACTTGAATTTGGGGTGCTCTTAAAATGGATTTGCCAAAGTGTTAAGATCCCCATCTTCTAGAGCTAGGGCCTTCTCCATCAATAAAACTTTCTTTATTCCAAACTCTGATGTTTTGAATGTTGGACTGTGAGGCATCTGGCACACGAACTTTGAATCGGTAAACAAAACTAGAAGTTAGAAGCCAAACACTAAATATAGTAATGATCACCATTTAGTGAAAGAAATTAGAAATAAATGTACAGCACATTGCTCTTACGGAACAAAAGGAAATTTGCTTGCTCATGTGTATCAAAGCCAAACGAGACTAATGAGTTTGCAGCAACGTAAAAGTTTATTTAAAGAAACGGTGCCAAGCCCAGAAACAGATGAGCTAGCTCTCAAAGACCTGGCTCCCCGATGGCCTCAAGGTATATGAAATATAGGGGAAAGATCATTAGTTATGGTTGAATCAAGGAGAAAGAGAAGAAAAAACGTCATTTTAAAAAGATTTGGACAGTTACAATACCAATATATTTATATGAAACACATAATCCTATATATTAAGTTACATAGCTAACTTAAGGATGTATGCCGAATGCACTAGAGGATGTTTTTCAAGAGGAGGAAATGAGTTGTGTATTAAGAATGAAGGGGAAAAACAAGGATTTTTGCACAGATATGTTCGATAATGTGTGTTTAAATAATAGGATTAATTATACCTGTTTGAGATCCAAAAGAAAGTAGGAGTTAATTTCCATAGCAAACTATGAAAGGATATAAATTATATCCATGCATTTTAAAATTTTTCATGTAACTACAGCAACTTAAAATTTAACTTTTTAAAAGTGTTAATGCATAGCAGCATTATTCACGGTGGCCAGGACATGGAAGCAACCGAAGTATCCTATGATAGATGATTGGCTAAAGAAGCTGTGGTACATATATACAATGGAATATTACTCAGCCATAAGAAGAGATGAAATACTGCCATTTGTGACAACATGGATGGACCTTAAGATAATCATGCTAAGCGAAATAAACCAGACTGGAAAAGTTGAAAATCACACGATATCACTTATGTGTGGGATGTAAACCTAAAAGCAATAAATGAACAGAACAAACAGAGACTCATGGATATGGACAATGGACTAGTGGTTACCGGAGGGTAGGGGGTAGGGGAAGAGAGAAGAGGTAGCAGGGTAAAGGGGGTCAAATATAGTGGGACTGGGGGAGGGTGAAGTGGGTAAAGGGGATCAAATATATGGTAGCTGAAGGAAACTGGACTCTGGGTGGTAATCACACAAAGGAATATATAGATGTCAAATTATAATATACATCTGAAAATTATATAATTGATTAACCAATGTTACCGCAATAAACTTAATTTTTTTTTTAAATTGTTAAGATGACAATAAGCTAGATATAGTTTTAACCAAGACTGCAAATGTCATAAGTTCAATTGTTAAAAGATGTATTAAGATA